GGCACTCTAGCTGCGGAAGGATAGGTAAATTTCTGATCCTGAATTTTCTCTAAAGGTCTCTAAAGAACCTGCAAATTAGATCATTAAACCAAACATTGCTGGTGGTCTTTGGGGAACTATCAGAACAGCAAAGGAGAATATGTCAACCAATTCTGAAAAATGAAACAAAATTGATTTCAGTGAAGATTTTAGAATCCTTTTTACATGAAGGAATAGGTGTGGGGAACATAAAGAAGCAACAATCACCTGGAGCCAACAAAGGCTCACAAAAGCAAATCTGACTCACCTTATTTCTTTCTGTATTAATCAGGGCCCTGGCAGGGAACAGATGGCACACATAACAAAAGAGTATAATTGACTAGAGTTTAGAAAAGGGACATTCCATAAAAGCATGGGGCAGGTTTAAAAACCTGGAGGGATAGTGAAGCAACCATGGGGAACTGGTACTATCCATAGCAAGACTGACTGCATAATTTGCAAGTTGCCTTATTCCAAAATGATTAGGAATTTCAAGACAGGGACCACACATCATTAATCAAGAATGGAGCTTTGTATGATGGCACAGGTTGCAAGTCCATGCAGCTGGTCTTGATCCTTTGGTTTGAAAGAGCAGAGAGAGTGATGTGTGTGAAAACCTGGAGAGAAAACCTGGAGAGAAAGCTATCTCTTCAGGAGAGTCCACTGGAGGGACACAGTAACCTTTGGAAGAACTAAGCTGCTTAGACTGAACTCTTAATGATCTGTGAAGGGAGGATCTGGGGAAATACATAAGGTAATCTTATTTCCTTCTCTCCTGCAGCCTCCTGCCAGTGCAGGACAAAGGATTCTAGCTAAATCAGTACACAGCAGACGGCTTCCAGGACAAAGCAGTGCAGAGAGGGGACTGGCAGAAACGGGGAGAATATCCCACATACCTTTGCAAGGTTATGCTGTTAGAGCTATGAAACCTGGTATGCTGAGTTTATAAGGACTCTAGAAAGGTGTCTGATACAATTTTTCAGAAGCTTCTTTTGAATAATATGGAAAAAATGTGTCCTTGAAATAAACATAATTATGTGGATCAATAATAGGTTAAACAATTATATCCAAAGGCCATGGAATACTGAAGAAATGCAAACCTGAAAGGAGGTGTACATGCACCCTTTCTTCTGCCCTATCTAGTTCAGTATTTTCACTATGGAGTGCAGATATAGAAAAAATTCTGATCAAGCATGGTTTGCAGACTGCTAAGAAAGATACTGAGTAACCAGGATAAAAGAATTAAAATCCAAAAAGATCTTGACAGGCTGCAGCAATGGAATAAAAAGATTCTGGCCAACTGGAACAACAGAATAAATCTAACAGTAATAAGTCTTCAGAATTGCTCTCAAAATTTTAAAAGCCAGAGGCATAGGTTTAGGACAGGGAAGACAATTTTTATTGTGTATTAAAATGACTCAGTCGAGTTTAGTGGAAGGTAAAGTCAGTGTGAGTCATGAGCATGGTCAATGCTCCCAAAAAGCAGATTAGGTTTCAGGCAGCATTAATGTAACAAAGGAGGTGATAATCCAAACCTGGGATGGTGTTGATTAAACCACACCTGGAAAACTGGGATTACTTTTCAATGTCATATTTGACTTGTGATGCATTCTGACAAAAGAATCTAGACATGGAGAAGAGACTTATGAATTAGGACCAACCACAAAAGCCAGCCTGGCTTCAATAACTGATGTAAATGACAACTTGAAAATGGTCGTATCCAGACGACTGCTCAATCAGCAAACAAAAGGGGCATACATAGGGTCAAAGGGATGTGAGTGGATGGGGACAACTCTTGATTCTCTATTCTCCCCTGCACCCTCCACAAGAATGTGCAGAGTTCAGAATCTACCAGGGATAGAGGATCCTAGAATCAAAGGCTCACTATCCTTTGGAAGGAAAAGGGGGAATTATTTAACAGGAATCCACTTTATTGTCATACAAATAAATTCTTGTTGGGCCATGGGGACATGCTTCTGAATTCTCTTTGTGTTGTGATTATGCCTCTTTTAGTATCGAGTCATACGCTAACACAAATGGAACTCATGCCTTAGTTGTAGTAATTGAAGAGATTTGGGGGCTAGAAAGAGACCACTCAGGAGACTAATAGTATCCAAATGTGTCCAAATATATTAAAGACTGCCATATGGAAGAGTATTATCATGATCCTCTAATGTCTCAGGAATAAAGCAGAGCCCTTAAGGAAAAAAAAAAACAGAGAGAAACTTATAATGATCCAATTTTCTAAGGACAAAATTAATGGCCATGGCAAACTGAGTTTCCCATAACTAAACATGAATGAATTTAAGAACTTAGACTGGATGACTCTTCAGTAGATTTGTTAATTAGGCAACACAAGCATTAGAATTGTTTTTAAAGCTCTTTTCCAATAATGAGTTTCCATAGTTAATTTTTTTTCTTTTATTCCACAAGCATTTATTGAGAACCCATCACATACTCAGTATTATCTAAGAACTAGAGATACATCAATAAACAGAAACAAGCCATTTTCCCATGGAGCTTAAACTGATAAAATAAGTAGATAATAAACAAATAATTAACAAAATGTCAGGCAGCAGTTAAGATTGCAAAGAAATATAATGAGGGATATGGTGCTTCCGAGACACACAGAGGGGAAGAAAACATAGGTTGGTAGGAACAGCCTCTCTGCCCAATGAGCTCATCTCTTTACTATAGTAAATGCCTCTAAATCTTCAATCCTGGTGCCTTCATTACATTAGATTACCCTCTATATTGTTTACTCTTTAATTCCTAAACCCAGAATAAGCTCAACTTTTAAACCCAAAAAACTAGGTAGTGAAACTGTTATAGTAGAATGTAAAAGCAGGCTGTGACTAGCATTTATGGTTTTATTTGGAATCATAGGTATCTTTATAAATCTCATACATAGTACAATTCTATTTCCCCACCCAATACTTTATAATATTTGGCTTCAGGTCTGTTTTTAATAATCTTAAGACTTTTTATTTCTCTGACTAAAGAAAATCATTTACTTATATCTTCTGCCCATCTGAAGAAAGTTTTAACTCCCTTTAATCTGGGTCATCCTCTTCATTTAGTGAATAAATTAAAATCTCAATGTTTAATGGAAATTTGCATTTTATGACATAGGAAGAATCAAGATATTCTAATGCTAACATTTAACCAAATCTGCTATTAGACAAAGGAAAAAAGAAACAAAGTAGTATTATACCCCAAGCTTAAAAGCTCAGAGGAAGACAAAAGCATTTGGATCATAGACCACAAATACATGCAAATACAAATAATTGATGAATTTAAAATTGTTTTTTTTTTCTTTTCCATTTTTCTTTTCTTTTTCTTTTTGTTTTGTTTGTGTGTGTATGTAGGTGCTAAAGTGAATATATCTGGAGAATCATTTGAAAAGATGATGAAGATAAGAAAAAATTTTCTGTTAATGTGTAAAGAAGTTATTGTTTAACTTTCTAACCATAGATTCCTAAAGTCATACACTGAAATAGGGTAAAAATTACCTTAGAAGTAATTTACTTGTCCTGCTACCAGGCAGGCAACCTGGAAGTTTTAGAAAAAAAAATTGTACAAGATCATATATTTGCTTCCACAACCAAAAAATTAAATGGATGGCATTCAGTTCAAGATGGATAAACCAGAAAAAAATACTTTCTTCTTATTTCTGGTTACAGTGAAATTACAGAAATTTAAAAAAAAATTGCAGTGTGAAAATTGAGAGATTCTGATGATAGTTGAAAATACTACAAAAGAAAAAGCAGATTCAGGAGCTGATCACTGGAGAAAATAGAGTTAGTAAAGCATGACTCTGGATACCCTAAGTAGAAGGGGCCTATCAAAGAGATCCTCAAAGATTCCTGATACTCAGAGAATGCCTACACAGAGCAAGAGTAGATGATACAAAAATATCAAAGTAATTAATTATAGAACCTCAATGAAAAAGAAAGTCTTCTTCCTCTTATTTCCCTTTTCATAAATATGGAACAAGTAGTGATGACAGCTGAGATTTTAGATCTCAAGAGAACAACCTAAACACCCTGCATGTATTTGTCCAGTTACTTGCCTTAAGTATCAGGATCCTCTCACTGCTTCCATACATGAGTGAAATACCGTACTGCTGGGTTTTCCAAGTAACTGCTAAAGGACCAAGATGAGACAACAAAGCAACACTGGAGTTAAGCCAAACTCTATGGAGCAAATTCTAACCAATGGGAACAGAACCCATGAAGGCATGGAGCACAGAGCGGGGGGGATTCTCTTTATCTGACTTACTGGAGTGGACTTGCTTGAGCAAGGATACAAAAGATTATAAGGTTTAAAAGTACAGGATATGAGTATCTATAGCCCAGAGAGAAACTCGTAATTCAATAATTACTGATGAGAATATGAAATGGTATAGCCACTCTGGAAAACAGTTTGATCATTTCTTAAATTACCAACTACACAACCATCCCAAGACCTGCAACCACAGTTCTTTGTTTATCCCAGAGAAATAAAAGTTTCAGTTTGCACAACAACCTATACAGAAATGCTTACTACAGTACTTTTGTTTTTCTTTTTTTGTACCAGGAATTGAACTCAGAGGTACTTAACCACTGAGCCACATCTCTAGCCCTTTTATATTTTATTTTGAGACAGGGTCTCACTGATTTTCTTAGGACCTCACTAAGTTGCTGAGGCTGGCTTTGAACTTGTGATCTTCCTGCCTCATCCTCCCAAGCTGCTAAGATTACAGGTGTGGGCCACCAAACTTGCCTACAGTACACTTTTTAACAACTAAAAATTCAAAACCCTGTAGACTTTCAATGGGAGATTTGATACACCAGCTGTGATATAACCATACTGCAGAACAGCACTCAGCAATAAAAAAGTAACAAAATATTGAAATATTTATATCACTGGAAAAATCCCTTCCTAGTACAGAAAACAGGTGGTCAGAGTTTATAAAGTGAACACTCTGGTGAATCTCCAGAAAACAATACTGAGTAAAAAAATCCTATCTCCCAAATGACATATATTGAATCCCATTTGCATAGAATTCTTGAAATGGCAACATTCTGTCAATGGACAATGGCTTAGTGGTTGCCTGGCATTCGGAGAATGGAAGAATGTCTCCTTCAGACAGTAAGACTGTGAGGAGAATTCCAGCTTTGCCATTTGCAAATGGCCTGTTTGTGCAGTGTTCTGAGGTACTATAGTTCTCCAAGACAGTGGCCCATGGAAAGTGCATAAAGGTACACAGGGATCTCTGAATTGTCTTACAATTCAGTACAGGTGAATACACCTGAGCTGGTTGTAAATACTTTAAATGGTTGGGTCTACAGTATTTGCCTAGGAATCACTGGTTCTGCCAACCACTGGGTGGACATCCTAGCAGTTGATCAGTCCCCAGGCTGGGTTCTATCCCTCGAAGTGGTGTTCTTCCCATAACAGAGACATTCCCCAAATGCCACAAATACAGGAGTTGGCTAAGAAGGAGAACCAAGCCAGCACTGAAGAAATTCTCAACTAGAAATGGGAACATGTACAGAAAGAGTTAGCAGCAACAGCAAGAAGAGGCATCTAGATGGAGCACGGACCCCATTAGTGAAATATTGGCACGATAAGAGAAGGGTATGGACTGGCTGTGCCCTGAGTTCAGGCCATGCTATGTGAAAGCCTGGCTCCTCGCTCCTCAGTGATATGGGGCCGCGGGTACCCGCTGGGGTTCTGCGCCTCTGCTCCACCAGGTGGAGCCTGGGCGCACAGCAGTCCTGGTAGTTCAGAGGTCACGTCCTGGGGTGAAGTACAGTTCAGCTGACGAGAGCTGCAGGGCCCAAGGGAACCCCGCTTCGCTTCTCCTCACAGCCTAGGCCAAATCGACCCCCTGCTAGCCCCTCTCCTGCTCTGAGGGTTTGCCCATCTCCGGTGCTGTCTTCTGATCTGCCCTGAGGAGATACAGGAGCTCAGCCACCCATCCTGCCCTCGGCCACCATGGCCCACCTGCGAGCCTGCAAAGTCAGGCAGCTGCTTCACAAGTTCGCAGTTGTCATGGGGGACTCCATCCAACGGGCGGAGTACAAGGACCTGGTCCTCCTACTGCAGAAGGACTGCCTGCTCTCTTCCAGTCAGCTGAAGACCAGGGGCGAAATAAGCTTCGAGCACGACGTGCTGCTGGAGGGTGGCAGGTGGGGCCGCATGCACAACAGCCCCCACTACCGCGAGGTTCGCCAATTCTGCTCCAGCCACCACCTGGTGCGCTTCTACTTCCTTACGCGTGCGTACTCGCCTTACTTCGAGGATATCCTGGCAGAGCTGCGGTGGGGCGAGCACGCCCCCGACGTGGTCATCCTGAACTCTTGCCTCTGGGACCTCTCCAGATACGGCCATGATTTCCAAAGGAGCTACCGGGAAGACGTGGAGAGCCTGTTCCGGCGCCTGGACCAGGTCCTGCCCCAGTCCTGCCTACTGGTGTGGAACACAGCCATGCCTGTGGCAGAAGTCGTCTCTGGAGTCTTCCTTGCCTCGGAAGGCGAGACCTGCCGGACCAGCCTGCGGGAAGACGTGACGGAGGCCAACTTCTACAGCTGTATGGAGGCGGTCAGGCATGGCTTCGATGTGCTGGACCTCCATTTCCACTTGTGCCACGCGGGGCAACACCGGCAGTCAGATGGCGTGCACTGGGACAAGCGCGCACGGGCACCTCTCCCAGCTCCTGCTGGCCCACGTGGCAGATGCCTGGGGTGTGGACCTCCCAGGCCACGTCCCAGTGGGCAGGTGGATCAGGGATAACCTTTTGCTTGTAGGCAGACGTGCAGGACCGGCAGGCAGGCGGCAGCCCCAAGACAATCGAGGTGACCCAAGAGAACCAGCCTTTTCCTGGCTCCCACCCACTCCCCCTTGGAGACCTTCTGTGCCTTTCCCCCAGGTTCAGACCCTGTTCCCACACTACCACCACAGCACCCTTTTTTCTTCAGATCCACCTTTGCAGCGCCAGTGACTTTTGGACTCCTCAACGCACCAAATCAGTTATACCAGGGAAGCTCACACCGTGGTAGCCGGTGAGCCAAGGCTGGGCAGTGTCCACCCAGCGCCCAGGCCATGCATCTGCGCCTTACCCACCGCAGCACCCCAGTGGCCCACGCAGCTGCCACTGAAGGCGCACAGAGAGACGAGTCCAAGCACATCCCGAGACAAGGCTGGAGTAGCCAGCCTGAGACCTAGGCCACTTGCACTGGGACATGGCCTTCAATGACCCTTTGGCTCTTCAAGCTGCTTACTCTCATCAGTAAAGAGCCTCATGCAAAATCTCTTTGCCAGTGTTTCCACACCACTTCTTGGAGAGGAGCCCCAGACCCAGAGCGCTTCACCCACACAGAAATGAACTCCCCATAAAAAAGTACTCCACTAATTAAAAAAGAAAAGCTTTAGCTGAATGTGTCTTCAAGGAGTATTCTTCACTGATATTCTTCCTTAAAAACAAAAAAACAAACAAACAAACAAAAAACACAGAAAGGTAAAAAATTTGCAAACCTTTCTGTAAGACTTTAGTATCACCATTAGTTCTTGCTGTGTTCATAGAACTTAACCTCCAAAGCTTTCACAATAAGTTGCCTTGCAGATTTTATTAACATTTGCCTGTGCTTCAAAATAATATGGCCCTTAAAAGAAGTATTCACAAATGCAAAATGTTTATTTTTCTGCTAGAACAAAATCATTACTAAAGTTCATCAAGTACCTAGCATCTTTTCATTTTTTTAATAGACTTTTTAAAGAATCACAGCAAATTTGGGTGACAAGTTCAGAGTGGTTCCCCAAAACTTCTGGATTCCACACAGGCACAGTCTCTGCCACTATGGTTATCCCACATCAGATGTCACATTACATTTACATTAGAATTCATTTTTGGTGTGGTGAATTCTGTGGGTTTTGACAAATGTTTAATGACATGTATCTGCCATTGTATTGTCATACATGATGTTTCACTGCTCTAAAAATCCTTTCTGCTCCGTGTCCTCATCCCTCCCTCCTGGAAACCATGGATCCATAACTGTTTCTGTTAGTTGCCTTTTCTAGAACGTTATACAGAGTCTTACAACATGTATCCTTTCAGATTGCCTTAGTAATATGCATTTAAGTTTACTCCATGTCTTCTCATGGCTTGATAGCTCATTTATTTTTAGCACTGAATTATATTCAGTTGTCTGGATGTGCTTCTGTTTATTGATCTATTCATCTACTGGAGAACATCATGGTTGCTTTCAAGTTTGTGTAATTATCAAAAAAATGACTGTAAACATCTGCGTAGGTGTTTCTGTAGATGTAAGTTTTCAGATGCTTAAATAAATATCAAGGATGCTATTGCTAGACCTGTAGTATGAATATATTCAGTTTTGTAACAGACTGCAACACTGGTGTTGTAGCTCAGTGGTAGAAAATGTACCTAGCAAGCATGAGAGAATCTGGGTTCAGTCCCCAACACTGAAAAGACAAAGAGAAGAAGGAAGAAGAAGAAACTTCCAAACTACAACTTTTAAAGTTTTGGGGCCATTTTTCATTCCCATCAATGAGTAAGATTTCCTGTTGCTCTGTATCCATTCAAGCCTGGTGTTATCAGCATTTTTGGTCTTTTTTTTTTTTTTTTTTTTTGCACATGGATGTTCAATTCCAGTACTATTAAAAATGTTATTTTTTTCTCCATTGTATTACCTTTGCTTCTTTACCAAAGATCAGTTGATAAGATATTTGCATATGCTATTTCTGGGCTCCCTATTCTGTAATATTGACCTATTTTCTATTCTTTCACAAATACATATTTGTGAAAGAATAGAGAATAGGTAAATCTTGAAGTCACGAACTGTCAATACTACTCTTAGTTCTTCAAAATCGTGTTGGCTATGCTAGGTATTTTGCCTTTTTTAGTCTAAGTCTATGTCTACGAATAGCTTGCAATTTGTGTTGGGATTACATTGAATCTATAGATACAGTTGGAAAGAACTAACACATTGATTATATTATCTTCCTATCACTGAACATGAACGATCACTCCATTTATTTAGTTCTTTGGTTTATTTGTTTTTTAGTTTTCCTTATATAGATTTGTACATATTTTGTTAGATATATACCTCAGCATTTCATATTGGAAGATGCTATTGTAAATGAGGGTTTTTTTTCTAATTTAAAATTTTAGTTGTTCATTGCCAGTATTTAAGAAAGTGAAGGATATTTGTATATTTACCTCATATCTTCCAACCTTGTTATAACCACTTACTCCTTCCAGATGTTTTCTTGGTTGATTCATTTGCATTTTCTACATGCTGTCATGCCATCTGTAAGCAAGGGCAGTTGTATGTCTTCCTTCCAAATATACATACCTTTTATTTCCTTTTCGAATTGCATTAGCCAGGACTTTCAGTATGATTTGGAAAAGGAGTTGTGAGAGGAGACGTTGTTGCCTTCCTAGTCTTAGTAGGAAAGTTTCTAGTTTCTCATCACTAAGTAAGATATTAGTGGTAGGGTTTTTACAGACTTTTTTCATGAAGTTGAAGAAAATCCCCTTTCTGATATGCTGAGTCTTTATCATGTGTGGGTGTTAGCTGTTGTCAGATGCTCTTTCTGCAGCTATTAATCTGCTCATGTGATTTTTCTTCTTTATCTTGTTGATGTGATGTATTATATTAATTGGTTTTGAATGTTGAACCAACCCTACATATATGGTATAAATCCCAGTTGGTCATGAGGTATAATTCTGTAATTTTGTTTACATATTGTTGGATTTGATTAGTTAATTTTTTTTGAGAATTTTTTGTCTTTGTCTTCATGAGAGATATTGATCTATAGAATATACGTGTGTTCCTGTAATGTTTTTGGTTTTGGTATTTGAGTAATGCTGGCCTTACAGAATGAGTTAGGAAGTATTTCACATACTTGTGCTTTCTGAAAGAGATCCTAACAAATTGGTGTGATTTACACTTTAAATATTTGGTGTAATTCACCAGTGGACATATGTAGCCCCCTGTGGCCTTGGTGTTTTCCGTTTTGGAATATTTGTTATTGTTGCTGTTGTTTGGTTTGGTTTGGTTTTAGTACTGGTGCTGGGAATTGATTCTAGGGCCTCATGCATGCTAAAAGTTCACTGTATCACTGAGCTATACCACCAGTATTTCTGAAGATCTTTAATTATTGATTAAAATTTTAATAATTTCAGATTTTACATTTATTCTTTTGTGAGTTTTAGCAGACATTGTTTTTTCAATGAATTAGTTCATTTCATCTAGGTTATCAAATTTGGGGTGGGTCATGGATTTGTTCAAAAATAATCTCAAGGTATCCTTTGAATGTCCATAATATTTGTAGTGATGTCCCTTCTTTCACTTATTAATAATAATAATATATATATTCTCTATTTTTGTCTGAGATGTGTTGGTTAGACTTTTACTGATTTTTTTTTAAAGAAAGAGCTTTTGGTTTTGTTGATTTCTCTCTATTGCTTTTTTGTTGTCAGTTTTTTAAAATTTCTTTTCTAACTTTTATTGTTTCTTTTCTTCACTTTAAATTTAATTTACTTTTTATGAATTTCTAACCTGGAAATTTAGATTCTTTATTTTAGATCTTTTTTCTTTCCTAATATATGTATCCATGCTATAATTAACGCTTCTGCTGCATTCCACAAATTTTGATATGTTGTATTTTCATTTGAGATTTGAATACAAACATTGTTTAACCTCGAAATGTTTTGGAATTTTCTAGCTATGTTTCTGTTATTGATTCCTATTTTAATTTCATTATGAACTGAAAGAAGACTGTATGATTTCTCATCTTTAAATGTATAAATACATTTTATGATCCATTTTTTGGCCCAAAGATTCCTGGCACATGTCCTATGTAAGTTGAGAAGAATATGTATTTTGCTATAAGTCCGCCCTGACTGAAATTAGTGGAGCTACTTCAAGTTTCTTTTGATTATTACTATCATATTTTTCTCTGTCCCTTTATATTTAATATATATTTATACATATACATATACATACATATACATACATCTTTGTATTTAAAGTGAGTTCCTTGTACATAACATATAGTTACGTCTTTTGATCCACATTGACAATTTCTTCTTTTTAAAATATTTTTAGCTGTACACAGACACATACCTTTATTTATTTATTTTTATATGGTGCTGAAGATTGAACTCAGTGCCTCACACATGCTAGCTATAACCCCAGCCCAACAATTTCTTTTAGTTGGTGTACTTAGACTGCTGATGTTTAAAAATGATTATTGATGTTGTTAGTTTATTATCTGCCATAGTTTTTTGCCAAAGTCTGGCTGCAGCAAAATAACCAGGGGGTGACGAGCAACTTGTGTAGATTGATACAGCAGGAGTGGGAGCCATTTATTGTAGGACAGCAGGGGTATATATATACATTCCACACAGCTTATCTTAATTAACATAAACTAGATACAGCAGTCAACCAATAAGGAATATCCATACTTAATGGCTCAGTGGCGTTACTTCACAAACCACTCCCTCTGGCAAAATGCCAGGCGCCATCCTGACTTGTTTACAGACTCTAACAGTTTTTGCTGTTTTCTATCAGTTGTCTTTGTTCTTTGTTTCTGTTTCTGTCTTCTTTTTCTTCCCCTTGTGGTTTTAATTGAGAATTTTATGATTATGCTTTTTCTTATTCCTTAGCATATCAATTAGCACTTTTGTTTATATTTTTCTTTTTTGTGCTTGCTATATATTTCAATATACCTTTATAACAAATCCAAGTCAAATAACACTATACTGGTTTGCAGTACAGGTTTAGGGTTAGGATTAAGATTAGGGTTTTTGGTTAGGATTTTACATTGCTTACCCTGGCTAGAAATACTACTCTTCATATAACAAGGCAAAATTAGGTTTGCAGAAGGCTTCTCTCATTTTCTGACATTGCACCTGGCTTAAGTGTGGCATGGCATAGACTTGGGCTAGAAGACCTTCAGACAGGCTGCATGTAGCAGGATGACAAAGTAAGCAAAATAAATCACCACATATTCAACTTTATTACATGAAGGGGAAATTAAAGGCAACATTTCCATCACATTTCCTCAATAATCAATGCCATGGAATTTCAATGATGAAAGATGGAGATGAATACGTTGTGATGTAGAGTGTTTTCTGGGAACTAGGCTATTACCTGGAAATAAAAAATGGTTGAACATTCCCTTGGTGTTAAGGTTGTTTTGAATCTCCTTATGTCTTCCTTGTTATAATTCTCTGTATCAGGTTCCTTTGAAAAAGGCTCCACTCTTACTTACCCACCCTTTTGTTAGACTCTTCTCCTGTTTTCATAGACCATAAACTGGCTAATGCATACACATGACAGGGACCAAGTCTCATCTCAATGCATCTTGTGTCACAGTGCACCCATCAATCCACCATACACTGTGAAAAAAAAATCTGCAGCCCCACAACCTCTTTACTGGGGTTTTGTGCATGCTGCTTAATTTCACTGCATCTGTCAAGCCATTCTTTATCAGAGAGTCTAACAGCCTTTGAGTGCACAGTGCTCTATCACTTATGTAGGGGTTATATTGATCTTTCTGGTGTGTGCTGTAAAGTGGCTGGCATCAAAAGCAAGTGAGGCAGCCGTTTTGAGCAGTATGGGCCATTTACAAACTTCAGGATGAGATGCCGCAGGATGCCAGGGAAAACGTTTTTGTTTTTCCAGAGGGAACCATAGTTCATGAAATGTGGTTAACATACCATTTTTGTATACCCTTAAAATCATTTTATAACCACACTGAGTGCCTCTAAACATTAAATATATTTTATAAGTAGTTGGTTAACTAGCTGTTGTATGCTTTAAATAGTAAATAAAATGGAAAGGCACTAAACAGTGACTATATTTCATAGAGTAAGATGCTTTTCTAGCCACTCAATAATTCTCAATGTTAAGAAAAATTGATTTTCCAACTGCTGAGTGCCTCTAAAAATTAGCATCTTATCTTCCTACAGGGGATGCTTTTCAGCTAGTCTCCTTTCTCTCAGCTTTTGACTTAATGGTCTCTGAAGTTCCTTTCTTGCTAAAAAAAATTCTGTAGGTTCTATTGGATTATAAATTCACTTGGACACATATATAATTAACTGGACAAAATATAAAATAGGAGACAATTGCATCTTGTCTTTCTGCATGTTATTTGCAAATGAGCAGTTCTTCACCCTCTGACTGTTCCTGAACTCCTCACTCCTCCCTCTCACTTAAGAGCAGGACTGCAAAGAGGCACCTAGGGCAATGACATAGAATTTAAGAGTACCAATTCCCACAGCACTTCTGAACAATGAATGCATTTTGCACTCGTGAAAGGCTAGCAGGAGAAAGGAATTCCCTACGAGGTGATAATAATCATATTTTTTCATGGCAAATTAATTCATTTTTCTACTACTATATCAACTCTGTCTGGCCTTTAAGAAAGTCATAATGCCAAAGCTGAAACTTTCCAGACAGATAAAACAATGGCTCATAGCATCACAGAAGTTGAGAATGGACATAACCAGGTACTACAGCATTAAAAGAAGACTCAACTCTTAGTTCTGCAAAAACTACCACCTGCTGGGTGACCCTTGTCACAGTG